CAACTTTCCAGGGCATGGCAAGGTTCAGCCCTGAAAGACTGGAGGCAAGTGGGGTCTAGCGAGTTTCCTTGGCTGAACACAGCTCTCCTTAAGCCTAACCTCACTCACTCTCTTATGCTGGGAAGAGAAATGACAGTCCACTCTGATCTATTTTAGGTAGCCAAAAAAAAAAAGGAAGTTGATCTCCCTCAACTTCACCTTCCTGAAAGGTGCTTGCGTGTTCTCTCCTTTCTGATCCCCGCTTGTCTCCAGCACGTAAATGCCCTGGGGTGGGGCACTTGGGGCTGCAGGCTCCCTACACACAGAATTCAACTCCTGAGGTCGCTGGTAGGCTGAATTTTGAAAAGGTAACAGTGTTTCTCCAGTGACTCACCAGAATCTCTCAGAAATGACCGATGTGTCACTCAACCAGGGAGCCCTACTGTGTGCAGGTGCTAAGGCATGAGAGACAGAAGCCTCAGAAGCAAAATTCTCCTCGTTGTCAGGGCTGCCCAGCCCCTACCTCTGAGGGCCTCTGCCTCCTGGCCCACCCCAGCTTCCCCATAAACAAACTTTATGTGTCCTGTTCTCATAATTAAAGGAACCAGGCCAAAAGTCCTCAGGTAAAGAAAGGCTCCTTTTGAGGATGTAAACACATAAATCAAAAGGCCTGGTTCCATTGCGTTGTTCATCTACTGGGCTGACTGTTTTGAGCTGGGGCTGTCTCCCTCAAGTTCATTTTAGGTAAATGTGTCCCGGCCTACCGTCCGTTTGGGCCGAGCAAGCAGAGATGCTTCCCTGACCAAAGGCTTCACCTCAGAAACCCAGCAACGTTTCAGACCATGCTGGAGTCCTACAATTTTGTCTCAAGCTCCTCAGGACTTCTCTGCTCTGGCCATATTTCCTGAGGCGCCCGAATATTTTGTGCCTCTCTTATCTCTCCCCAAACAAAGACCAGACCCAGTTGTCGTAAATGCTGTTGTCTCAAGCACGTCTTTGTGATACTGAATTGTTCCCAAGAACAAGAGTATGAATGCAAGCAGGGTTCTCTGAGTCCATACAGATGCCAAACTCCAAAGACATTTCTTCCAGTGGGATTTGACCTGAAGATTTGTGCTTAAGGTCTCAGAGACTCAAGGTGCTGGTGGTGGTGGGTAGGGAAGTCACCAGAATGAGTGACAGGGCTGCAGGGAGGAGGTGAACACACACAAAGTCCCACTGACAAATACATTCACTCTTACTCTCACCTTCAGGTTCCTTTTGTGAGAATTTGTGGGACAAATGCGAATAACTGTGCAATTTGTGTGCTGCCAAAGCCTCCCTGTCTAGGGAACAACAGCATCAAAATGCAGTTCCCAGCACCCTGGCCCAGGCCTGAATCACCCCAGAAAAAGGGGCACTTTCACCTTAATTCATGCGAAGACACCATATAGACAAACAGCATCCATGGTGCCAGGCACTGTGAAAGTATGTTTACTTCATTTAATCTCAACAAAGGTAGATGTGATATCCCTGTTTTACAGGCGAAGAACTGGAAGATGGCAAGGGTCAAGTACTTTGCCAAGCTCACAGGGCTGATAAGCAACGGCAGTGAGATTGAAACAGCATGATGCATTCCCAAACCCAACTTCTTCCTTCTTGGTTCACTCCCTGCCTGCACCCTCAGCTCCAGCTCTGTCCCTTTACTCTGGCTGCTGCAACCCACCAGACCTCAGCCCTAATCGAAGATTAACAATACCAAGTGTTGGCAAATGGGCGGTTGGAGGGAACGTAAAATGGGACAAGTACTTTGGAAAACTATTTGTGAGTCTGTTCCCAAATTAAACATACACCGACTATATGATTCAGCCATTCCACTCCGAGACATATACCCAAGAGAAATGAAATAATATGTCTATATAAAGATGTGTGCGTGAATGTGGCTGGGCAGAAAGGAAGGGAGGGGCATACAGGGGCAGGAGGGGGCTGGAGAGATAGGCCCACTCCTGGGCTGCCTTACTTCACTCCATTCCTCCTCAATCCAAGTCAAAAGCTCTTGGGGTCCTAAGCCAACATTGTCGGGGCCAATGTGAGTGAAGGGGGAAGCCACCTGAGGTCTGGGAAGTGCTCAGAGGGCCTGCTGGTGACTGTGCCCCAGCTCTGGGCTTTCTGTTGGGAGTGGAGCAGGGTCCCTGCCAGTGGGAAGGGCTGGGCCGGCATGAGGGGTAAGGATGGGAGAGAGGGTGGAGTGGCGCAGGCCTAAGTGGAGAGTAGCAAAACCAAGAATGAGGCAGACGGAGGAATTAAGGCCAACCGGGCTTAAAAGCTCACGAAGTGCCTATTAGCCGAAGGGCTGCAGTATGGCAGCTCTGTGGGAGCCCAAAATTCACCTGTGCCACTGAGATGAGATGCTTATTAAGGGCTCCAGCTGGGTAAGAAACCCAGGCTGGCTGGATTTGCCCCTTGGATGGGTAGCACCAACTTCTAGGCTGAAAGTTATAGGGAACTGATGCTGGGTGGGCAGGCAAGAGTCTGACTCCCTTCCCAGCTAGGCTACACCCCACCACCCCAACTTCTTTTTTTTTTTTTTTCAACGTTTATTTATTTTTGGGACAGAGAGAGACAGAGCATGAACAGGGGAGGGGCAGAGAGAGAGGGAGACACAGAATCGGAAACAGGCTCCAGGCTCTGAGCCATCAGCCCAGAGCCTGACGCGGGGCTCGAACTCCCGGACGGCGAGATCGTGACCTGGCTGAAGTCGGACGCTTAACCGACTGCGTCACCCAGGCGCCCCCCACCACCCCAACTTCTACCCCATGCTGGCTGTGAGCCCGAAGACTGGAGAACACAGGAAGCCCCTTCCCCTGCTGGCAACGAAAGTCTGTAGGTCCCGCTCTGGTAGCTGAGAGTGGGCAGAGCTGAAGTACCCTCAGGAGCCCCTGGAGGTGGCCCCCTCCTCACCCCTCCTCCTTCTGCCCATGCCCCTGGTTCCCTACTTCTATGTCTGCTCTCTGCTGGGATGGAAGCCTCACGTCTTCTGCCCCCCAGCACTCTGCCCTGGTTGCCCTTGGCAGCAGCCAGGGTGGAAGACCAGGCTGTCCATAGCCCCAAGAGAAAAGACAGTGCCACGGGCTAGTTCCACGCATCCTCAAAATGGCATTAGCTCAACTGGGGGAGATTGGAAGCAGGGAGGGCACACTGATTCCCTTCCCTGAGGCTGATGTTCACGATCAGTTTGGAGTTACATCTGTCACTTGAAGCATCAAAGTGCCTTCCAAAGTCAATCAGGACCACTTACCTTTCCCACCTACCATTTTGGACAACTTAGGTCAGCAAGGGGAGTCCAGTATCTGCTGGTTTGGCTGTCCTGCCAGGGGAGCACAGAGGAGCAGGACTCCTTGCTGTGGCTGGGACACTGCCCTGACCCCACCCCTGCCCACCCCAACTTGAAGCTAATCTCTCTCATTCTGCGCTAGGACTCCTATGCCACTCACCACACTTCCCACGTGAAAGTACACAGTTCTCAGGTCCAGTTTACGGGGTTTTGCCCCTTGTTTTCAAAAGCAATTTCTCTCTTTGTCCCAAATGTCACTTCCACTGCCCAGTTCAGGCCTGCACAACTTCTGATCAGAGCTCTCACAGTCCCCCCACTCCCCCGCCCGGCTGAGGTCGGCCTGCTTTCCCCCACCCCCCAACTCCTCCCTCCCACCAGTACAGCTGCTCAGGAGAACCATCCACCTACTATGTGTCTGGGACCACAGGAACTGGAGGCAAGGACAGGTCTGTCTTCCGGTGCAGAAGATGGATATGAACCAACTAGTGCAGCAGAGTTATCCTGCAGTGCAGGGCATGCCCCAGGGGCAGTCTGGGTCCCAGAGTCATGGAGCACATCTGGGAGACTGCATTAATGGAGTACTGGAAGAGGACTAGAGCTCTGCTAGAAAACAGTGGTGTTCTCAGTAGTAAACAGCCTGTGCAAAGGCTCAGAGGCTGGTTATCAAGGTCTTCTGTGCCCTGATCACACTTACTTATTGTGCTGGTCAAGCTCTTATGTCTGTATGTGACAAAAAGACCACCTCAGACTGACTTAGACAACAAAAGGAATGTGTTGACTTTTAACCCAAACTCAACAGATTGAGCCAGAGAAGCTCGACCCAGCAGCTTAACGGACATCACCAGAGTTTCGGTTTCTCTCTGTGTCTTTCTTCTAATATTACCTTCACAAGGTGACCCTCCAGCACCTTCCAAATCTCCCTTTCTATGTAACAGTGACAGGCCTCCCGATGCCACCCTTCTCTATGCCAAAAACATACACACCTTCCCTTCCCTTTTCTTCCCTTTTCTTCCCTTCCCTTTCTTGCTGGGGCTTTACTCACTCAGAATTACAAATCTTGCCTTGAAGCTCATTGGCTAGGACTTGGTCAAATCTCCATCTCTGAACCAATCAGTGAGATCCAGAGAATATGATTCTCTCATCGGCTCAGGCCAAGTCATCGCTCCACCCACCCTTGACTGTATAGGTGAAGCGTGAGCACAAAGAACCTGGTAGCCAGGAGTACCAAGATGGACACAGGGCTGGAGAAGGCACCTGTCCTATGCATGACTGTAGGCTGAGAGGGTCATCTGGGGTTTGCTTCAAACCAAGTAACAAGTCTTGAAAAGGGAGACTGGGAGAAAATGGTGGGCCCCCAACTTCTCCCTACTTTCCTTTCTCCTGATTTATCTATTCCATATTAGTTAAGCTGGAAAGAGAGCGTTAGCTCTCAGCAGTGCAATTTTCATCCCTATATCATCCCTGTATGGAACAATCATGTGTGTGGGGGTGGGTAGAGGAGAGAGGGAAAGTAGGAGAGGGGGAGAAAGAGAGGAGAGGGAAGCAGAGCTAAAGGGAGAGAAGACTGTAGGTATATAGTCTCCAAATCTTCATTGCTGGTGTCATCTTTCTTTGGAATACAGGGAAGTGTGGGGATTGAAAACCCTTACTTCCAAATACGAAACAGTCATAGCCAAGAAAAAAAGTACACAGAAAATGTGACGCTGACCTTGAACCCAATGAATGTGGCTCTCTCTGGGAGGCTGAGGCACCTTCTGTGGTTCCATGGCCAATGTGCACCTGGAAAGGAATGGGGCTGTGACTTTGGGCACCTGTTTTGCCCGGGGCAAGGCCAGCCCTTCTCCCCCAAGGAAGCTACAGCCCCAGCCTCTGGCATTTCCTGGGACAGCCCGAGGTGGGTGGGATAGTCTGCAAGGGTCTCAAGCCTTCAGTTCCACAAATCATCCTGTTTTAATGCAAATGGCAATTGCCAAGAGTACAGCATGTTTTCCTGTGTCAGCAGCTCAGTGACTAATGTCCCAAGATAAATGGCTTTGCTTTGCCTTGTTTAGAGTGATTCTGTAATCTTTCCCTCCTTTCTGCTGAGGGGACTCCCCAGATCCTTCCCAAGTGCACTCCAGGGCTAAGGAAGCCTGGGCATCAGGGCCACCAGCTGTGCTGGGGTCATTCCATGTGCAGTGAGAGGCAGGAGCAGGTGAGAACCTGGGCTGAACAAGTCTGGAGCTGACTGGCCATCAGTCCTCAGCAAATGACTGGGGAAGAGCTGAGAACAAGCTCTACATTCAGGCCAGTGTGGAGCTCGGGTTGGAGGGAGGATCCAGAGCACCCAGGACTACGGGGGAGAAATCTGGGTCCTGGGATAGAGACAGAGAAGAATGGGCAAGTAGGACAAGGGAGAGGTCCAATGCCATCTTGTGCCACGTGGGTATTCCTAAACAGCCAGAGATGGGGAACGGTTATTTTTATTAGTTTACTTTTTGACCAGTGAAGATTTAGGGTTTGGGGAATCTTGGTCCTAGCACCTACTGTCTGTGGCATCTTGGGTGGTACTGTTCTCATTTTACAGATGAGGAAATGGAGGCTTACAGTAGCTAAGCAATTTGCCCAAAGTTCCACACGTAGCTCATGGCAGCCTTCAAACCTAAACCAGGACAGTCTAGCTTCAAAGTCAATGGTGTTGAATGAAGCAGCAATTGGGAGAATAGATCTCCCCAGGTACCTGGTGACTTCTGACCACCCACCTGAAACCCCAGCTCCTCACCCTTCCAGAAATGCATCCTTGCTTAACCATAGTGCAAATGTTGTGGTTTATATTTCCACCCTTCTGCCTTCTGAACACACTTCCCAGTCCCCTTGTGGATGGTGGACCATGTGATGTGCATGACTTTCAGGCCGGAGCATTTCACTGTCAGTGTCAAGCCCTCCAGAGCTCTCCCTTTGTCACAGCAGCAGGCACTATTCTGAATTGCTGCTCCATCAGCTGGGTGCCACATAAGGACATCATGGACAGGACCCCAACCAACTCACAGTGGACAATGGAACATGAGTGAGAAATTAGTCTTTACTGCTCCAAACCACTGGGATTTGAGGTGTGTTACTGCAATTAAACTTATCCCCTCCAGACTGATAGTCTCCCCTGTCTGGGAGGAGGGAGCAGATGAATTCTGGTAGATGTACACAGCCGTGTTCAGCAGAGAGGAAAGACAGGAAACCCATTTCCATCAGCCACACCATCCTGTTTCAGAGAGGCCAAGTGGGACAGAGAGAAATGAGCATCGGGGGGAAGCAAGGATTCCAAGAGCCCCGAGCCAGAGAGCTTTCAGACTGCAGGGTCACCTGGCCTCTCTGAGGTCAGGACGGCAGGGTCAGGGAAGTCTATTTCACACAACCCAGATCCAGATGGCTGGAGCCCGGAGCTGTCTAGGCCTCATGCAAGAGAAGGAGCTGAGGTGCCCCTGCACCAAGCATCACCAGGACCTCTCAAAGTAGTGGATGGGAACAGATTCAGTTGGGCATCTTTGAAGACAGGTCCAGGGCACTGGTGCCCAGTTACCTGAGTGCAGACTCCCTTCTCCAGGCAAACCTTGTGGGCGGTTGACAGGGTCCTTCGTGGGTATGAGCCCTGGAACACAGACTGCTGCAGCAGGGACCGGGCTGCAGCACAGGGGAAGCAGTCTCCTGGAAGTGGGTCTGAGCCCAGTGGAGAGTGTGGGCACTAACCCTTCCCTTGGGTTGTCTTCCCCTCCTTTGGCATAAGTTTGCCCATCTCCCATTTCTGAAAGACAGCTACAGGGGACGCATGTAGACTATAAATTAGCCCCTTTGGATCTGGTGGTTCTGAAGCTGCATTTGAATTGGGAGAGACCCTGGAAGCTGATGCTTACAGGGGATACCTGTAGAAGAGGGAGGGGACGGTGTAGACTTTCCCATAAGTGGCAGCTGCCTGATTGGTGTGATAGAGGGGTGCTTCAGGCCATAAGTGACCTCCAAATATCTTTCCACCACTTCCCTCTTTCCCTGTGGTCAGGGCTAGCCTTTACTCACTCTTTACCTGACATCTCTTGCCTCCCAGTTCCTCAAAACTACCTCCCCGCCTCCCAAATATGCCTGAAAGATCTCATCAGCCTTCTTTCGCAATGTGCTGAGTTCCTTCCAGAAGACTTTGGAAGGGCTCTGCTGCTTTCTGGAGAGGTGGTGAATAGTGGAGCCCCTCTCCCCCAGCCATGACTGGCAATCTGGAAACTGCCTTGAAGCAAACACTGATAATACAACTGCCTCTTATTGTATCCTCAGCAGAAATGTGCACAGTCAACAGCCCAGCCTTTGAGATGAGACGAATCTGGGTTTCATTCCTAACTCTGCCATGTGCCAGATGTGTGAACTCAAGCCAGGGCTTCAATTCTGTCAGCCTCAGTGTCTTCATCTGTGAAATGGTGATAACATTAGTCCCCACACTATGATAGCACTCATACAAGGGTACAACAGGCTGAAAGAAGACACAGCCCTTAGCACAGGATCTGTCTGACATGAAGCACGTATATGTGCTTAATAAATGATATTTAGGACTAGTGTGCTCTCCTGGGTGGGCAAGAAGCAGAGAGGCTCTTACAAGTCTCAACAAGAAAGCAGTGAGTTTGCCCGACTCAAAAAGGCAGGAAGAGGGCTGGGGAACCGTGCAAGGGGCCCAGGCAACAATACCCTAGAAGCATGATCAGCAGCAGCACCCAAATACTCAGCACCTGATGCCAGAGCCCACAGACAGAGAGGAGGCTCCAGAGCCCAGAAGTTCCCCCAACCAGCAGGTCTAGAGCCAGCCCGGCACTACGTCAGGCAAATGTCTGAACCCATTTGTTCAGTGTCCAGAACGGTTCAGAAACCATCTCTGGGAAAAAGCTCCTCCTTAGCCTTACCTCTATCCACCTGTGTCACAGCGATTTTGTTTCTGCTATTGCATTGTTGTGTTGCCTTTTTTGACCTTCAAACTGCTTGTGGGTATTTCGGAAGAAGCCCATGTTGGGCTTGCTATCCAGGCCAGTGAGATTGGGAGCAGGGGCAGTAAGAATGGCCAGGTCCCATTCAAGAGCCCAGAGAGAACTGAAAAGGCACAGGAGAAACCAAAAAGATGTGGCTTTAGGGATGCTTGAAGAGGATACGGTGCCTCCTTCCTCAATCTCCCCAGAGGGGAATTTCACCCAAAAGTGTTCCAACATACATCAGTCATTCAGCTGCAGTCTAATTTGTGTATAAATAATTAATATGGGACTCTCAGGTCAAGAGGCCAACCTCCCACCTCCATCTCAACATACAGAAATGTCAGATATGTTTGTTAATTTAATATATATGTATATAAGCATGTTGTAGAGAATAAAGAAAGGAAGATATTCACAGGCATATAATGGAGAAGGAAAGCAAAGTGATAAGCAGAAACTGAAGGGCAGCTAAGAGTTGGAACAGAGATGAGTCACTGGTGATAGGGACACTGTGCCAGGACAGGTTCCTGTGTGAAGCCAGGGAGCCATGAGCTTACAGCTGGCCCACCAGGCAAGTCTGGATTGACTCTGCCCACGTCACACAGGCGTCTGGACACACGCAGTTTATCTCAGGCCAGAAATAGACATGCAGCCCAAGAAAGAAACTAAGCCCATGTCCCTGTGTAGATATAAAGTTCAGAACTATTCCATCTACATGGAAAAACATGTAGACAAAGTTGTTCATATGATACCTTGTCCACAACTCCAAACCCCATGGAGCTGGAGCTAAGGCAACCACAAAATCACCCTGTAGGGAAGGGCATTTGACAGAACACCGCCGTGAGAGATGAACTCTGAGAGTTCAACAAGATTATCCATCAATAGGATAGAAGTGGAATGTGTAACTGACAAGCACGGACAGAAAAAAATGAACAAAAAAAACTGATTCAACATAAAGTAGGAATGGAGGGGAAGTAAAGAAGCAAAGTAAAGCATGGTAAATAGGAACAAAAATGATATTGCAGAAGTAATTTCAAATATATTGATACTCATGATAAATGAATTTGAATGGGTGAAACCTTTATTAAAAGACAAAATTTTGGGGCACCTGGGTGGCTCAGTTGGGTGAGCATCAGACTTCAGCTCAGGTCATGATCTTGTGGTTTGTGGGCTCGAGCCCCACATCAGGCTCTGTGCTGACAGTTCGGAGCCTGGAACCTGCTTCAGATTCTATGTCTCCCTCTCTGCCCCTCCCTCCTCTCTCTCTCTCTCTCTCTCTCTCTCTCTCTCTCTCTCAAAAAATGAATAAACATTTAAAAATATTAAAAGACAAAATTTTGTAATGCTTTTCCCTTTAATTCATATATATGCTACTTATGAGATAAATATCTAGAATTAAGACAGAGGGTTGGCAATAAAGATGTGCAACAGCACACACACACACACACATACACACACACACACACACACACACACACAAATGCTAACCAAAAGGGGACTGGTGAAATATTAATTATTAGAAGAAAACCTTGCATGGAAATGACAACCATTTCCTAGTCTTAAAAAGAAGTATCCATTAAAATGGTGTAATAATAATGCCTTCCATACAACTAACAATACAAACTCAAAACATGTAATTGGCAGTATTGAAAGGAGAAGGTAACAAATTCATAGTCAGAATGCACCACTCTCAGAAATGAATAGATCATGCAGTCAAAAATTGCTCCCATTATAAAATATTTCAATGTAAGTATTTGAACAATAAAATTATAGATTTGCTGTAATAGAGCCATACAGTACTTTGCATCCAATA